ACGAAAAACATTCTATACAGTTTTAAACTGGATTAAATAAGCTACAATTTAACTCTATACAGGGTTAGTAAATCAAATAGTTTACGAGATACAGATTTTCAAAGTCTTAGTAAATTTTCGAACTTGAAACTTTTAAGCTATTTTTCTTGTTTGATCATATGCATTTGTATTTATATTTTCAGTAACCTGTCTTATATGATTCAGTGAAGTAAATTTTTATTCATTTTAACATTTTGAAGGTGGGGTGAGGGAGGAGGGGAAGTTTAGTGGGAGAAGGGGAGATAACTTTTCACGACATGAAGACTTATTTGAATTAAAAAAATCAAGGGAGTCCTCGGCTCTCTGGGAACCATTCACCACGATGTGCCTGGGCAGGGTCAGAGTTTTAATTTATGTCTTTATTGAATTTGTTTTATATCAAATTGTATTTAATTCTTCATGTTGATACACTTTTGTTGTTGTTATCGTTATTATTGATTAATTTTAAGCATTTTAATACTGTATATAAGAGAGATGTATGAAGAGAGAGAAAGGAGAGAAAGAGAAATTAAATGTAAACAAAAAAAGAACAAAAACAAGAAAAAATAATATTAATATATATATGGCATTTGATAGAGTCTGGCATCCGGGACTGATGTACAAACTCCGTAAATTCCTACCACTTACATACTTCCTCATTATCCGTTCCTACCTTACGGACAGATTCTTCAAAGTAAATCATAACAATGCTTTTTCATCTCTTTTTTCTCAGTTTGAAGGGATTCCTCTCGTATCCAATACTTACAATCCAAAATCCTTCGTAAAATCCTCAACGCTCCTTGCTTTGTCACAAATAAAATCATCCATAAAGATCTTAATGTTCCATATATTTCCAATTTGGCCCAATCTAGATAACTATCCTTCCATAACAAACTGCAGAACCATCCGAACCCTCTCGTTTCCAACCTAGCTTCCTCTTCTAGTCCTGATAACCCTCCGAGGCGTCTGAAAAGAAGATGGAGAATCTAATTGGAGTGCTACCAATGGGTAGTTTCTCTTCATGTTGTACATGTCATATTACTTGTTCATACTTACTTGTTGTATTTATTATTAATTACAGTTGTAAATTGCGTTAATAAAAAAAAAAAAAAAATATATATATATATATATATATATATATATATATATATATAATACTCATATATCACTTCTTTATATTTATATATAAGTCTTATTGATTGTTTTAAGTATTAACCAGTGTGCTCTGTGTCTAGAGCAACCCGATATAATTGGGCAACAAGCTTTTATATTTTATATGAAAATAAAGTGTTTCTCTCTATATGCATATATATTTTCAAAATATATATATTTTTCCTGATATTTGATGTGAGGCCACGGTTGTTCTTTTGTATTACTCGCTTTTTCACAATATTCCAGTGTTGTATATTACAAGGGTGAAAATGTGATTAAATAACGCAGATCATTATTCCCTCCTCTTTAAATAATCTTTGGATCAACTGTGTCCATTTAGAAGCTGATTGAGAACAAGGAGCTATAGGGGATGAATAGATGATTCAAATATTATAAACTGTAGCAAGGAATGGGAACTGTATTGTGTGGACAGTCCTGAGATGAGATGACTCGGCGAGGGAATGAACCCTGCTCGTTCCCAGTCAATGAATGACCACGGTCCTTTTGTGAATGGGGTGTCGGCACGGTGACGTCATATGCATCCACTCAAAGCTTTACAAATATCTAAACTTTTATTGGAAGGGTCAAATTCTCTAATTTTTTTTTTTAATTCAACAAATCGATTTAAGATTTAATCTTATTATGAAGATTCCTAGATCTTAAATTAATTATTTGACTTTTACTTTGAAAACTTATGATTTTTCGGAATAATCGGACGACAGATACCTAGTTATTTAAATATAATATCAGAGCTGGAGTTATTAAACTACAGTAAATATATTTAAGATTATAAACATATCCAAGAAATATTTTTATATTTCACTTTTTCTTTCACACAAGTAAAATGAAGTAGTATCTTAAACAGTGTCATTGCCCCGAATCCTTGGATTTTAAATACTTTTTCAAAAGTATACATTTAGTAAGAAAATTTCATTTAATTTCCTTGAAAACATGTGATTTACGTTAAATAATATTAGTTTTTAGAAATTGTTATTTATATTCTTTTCACCACTCTCCGCTACCTTCTACAGTTTTCTATATTAGATTTTTTTTTTTAATTCTCCGCTTTCCAACGATGTATTATACGTTTCCTTCTGACTATTATTTCCGGATGTTTATTTTTGGCCTGGATAAGTAGTTTTCTCCTTTTTTCAAGTATAAAATTCTTTCAAAAGTTATATTTAGCATTTTTTCATTACTCTTATAATAAACCAATTAAAGGCACTTTGGAGGAAAACATAATAGTGTCGGGATTTCACAAAGAGAAAATTCATCAAATTATTCACTTGTTCAATTTTCTAAAATGTTACTACATGTCGATTTTTCGAAATAAACGGAAGTTGATACCTAATTATTTAAATATAATATCAGATCTAGAATTATTAAACTACAGTAAATCTATTTAAGGTTATAAACACAAGCTTTGTACATCCGTGAAATGATTTTATATTTCACTTCTTCTTTCACACAAATACTATCAAATAGTTTTTTTAACAATGGCATTGCTTTGATTAGATGGATTTTAAACACTTTTTTCGAACTTATTAAGATATTTTAAAGGTTTACATTTAATTTTCATTTAATTTCCTCGAAAACATGTGATTTACGTTGAATATTATTAGTTTTAAAAAATTATTATTAATAATTCTTCGCCTCTCTCCGTTACCTTCTACAACTTTCTATATTAGATATTGTTTTTTTAAATAAATAGATAAGTTAACATATTCCGTCGGAAATAGCTCATATTCAGTATTGCTATTTTCAACTTTAAGGTTTAATGAAAAAAATAAATCTAAGTGGAATAGTGGAATTTATATGGCCCTCTCTCCCTGGCCGGTTGTCGGCAACCTGCTAGAATTGTGTCGTAAAGGGAGGGGCTCAGTTCTAAGCTAACCATTACCTAAGATTCAGTTAGGGCTGGCTGGGGCGGAGCGAATTCCCTCCAACGGTTATAGATAGACCATCGTAAAATCTTTTAGGTCGGATCGATGAGAACTATGGTTTCATACGAGCCGGAAAAGTACTTTAGAGTAAAACACACTTATTTAATTATTTATATGCCCTCCCATATTGAATGGGAGATGGTGGAAGGGGGGGGCGGTGAACGAGGACTTACTTTATATGGCGAAGCTATTTGCCCGAAGAGTTGATATATACGGCCCAGTAGTTAAAAAGGTTATGGGCCCTGAAAAAGCTGTATTTCGTTGAATATAAATTAGTAATATATTAATGTATTATTAAAATCGGGGTGGTTCTGTATGAAAGATATATATTCTTGCTTCCAGTCCGGCTTAGGCAGATTATTTTTTCTTCTGATCAGCCGTGTGTCAACAATGGCATCGGGAAATCCTCCTTGGGCATATCCAGCTTCTATAAAGTGGGTATCGTTAATTGTGGAAAACCCTGGCAGTTGAGCGTGAACCTGGCCAAATCACACCCTTGGCCTAGAAACACACTTCCTTGTTAAGTACGGAACCCAAATCTTTTCCTTCAAGTAGTGGTTCAGCTTTTCTTTTATGATTTTGGCATACTTAAGGTATGGCTTACCGACAATGAAATAATAAGAAATTCTTTAAATCGACTAATTAAATATTATTTAATTCGATTTATCAGATTAAAAAAATCCGTCAAATTTTAAGGCAATTAATAATCGAGATACTAACACACCGTAATAACATAACGACATAATAACACATCGAGTACTAACTCATGGAGAAGAAAGATCAATGAAGAGCTGCTTACAGAAGCTGGTCAATCAATATTTCATGTTATTAATGCTAAGAAGTTTAAGATTTGCGGAGGGTATGTTGCTGCTGGAAGCCTATACACGACAATGAATGCCATAAGATGTAGTTGAAAAAAAGATTACGTGGAACGCCAAAAAGCAGATGATAGTTCGAATAAACAAAGATGCAATAGAGCTACATGCATATAATTGGAAATAAATAAGATAGGGGAATATGGAGGCGGCAAAAGGTCTAGGAAGTCTGTAATGCCAACACAACAAAAAAAATCAAGATATGTGTCCTAATTCATTCTAATAGCAATATAGTTTAATAACTTATTAGTTTTATTTACAATTATAGTGTTATAATAATTATCAATATAAATTTCATTTCATAAAATAATTTATTTTTATCGTTGATTTGTTGTGATATTTTGGAGATAGTATGACAAAACAGTAGTAAGACAAGACGTTTATATAATTTTAAAAAAAAGTCAATATTGGCAATGTAAAGAACCCTAAAGTTTTTATCAAGATTTGAATTTGAAAATAAGAGTAGAGTAATATTACACGATGGTTTGCTCTTCCGTTGTAATAAATTAAAATAGAGACAGTTTACTGGATAAAAATTGTATACTTCATATTATTAATTTTTTTTTTTTGTATTAATAAGGAAGAGGAGATGAGTAGCTGGTATCTGAAAGGTTCACCTGGCCAAGCTAAAGAGGTATTTTTTGGCTAACTTTATAGTTGACATTACTACCTGGTAATAAACATTTAGTAATTAGTATTTTTAGTTTGAAATATTTCGAATCTAACCTGAAATAATGGTAATGAATTTTGTAGTTTTCTTCTCTGGTTGTTGGCATCCGAAGTGTATTTAAAAAAACAGTAAGACTACTTTATGTAATATCCGTTTAGGATAGACAAGTTATAGTTAAGTAGTGATGATAGTGAAAGTGATGATTTATGAATCGCATATGAACTTTGCCAGTCCTTCACTATTGCATTCGATATACAATAGTGTACTTATCAACAAACTACTTGCCTCCATCAACTTGCTTGTGCAGGTGCGAAGGAGAGGTCTATTTGCTTTAGGTTTGTAATGGCGGACCCAGGAGGGAAGCGGTTCACCTTGGAGCAAAGACAACAGTTACGTTATAATCCTGTTAGCTCCTCGTCCAGCGGGGTCGAATCCTCCAGTATTGCTTTGTCAGTTATTCAACAATTACGACTGATACAGGTGAAACTAACTTATTGAATGCAAAATGCTGTCTCGCCCTAACCCTCTAACAAGAACTGTTAATGTATCATTGCCTTCTCGGAACAATTTGGATGGAACAAGTGATCCAATTGAAACTCTGGCTGCCAAGTTGGTTGAAAGAGTGGACGACGATTCTCTTCAATTTCCATAATAAATGGGTACGGTCATCAACTAGGAACGGAAATGCCAAACCATCATAATCATCGGGGTCTTTCATAACTACATTTTTCTAAGAATGTTTTTTTTTATATATAGTTCAGAAAAGGGATTTTTAATTTCTTTAAAAAATGATAAATTATAGTTTTATTATCACTTTTTTATAATAGTGATTAACTACCTCTTTGTATCAATCAAGTGGCTTTTCTACATGGCATAACCATCTTTTTAGGATTTTACATAGTTTGAATAAACATTAGTACATTTTTCATGTACTATCATTAACATTGTATATTATACTATACAAGGGTATGATATTATTATATGAATAATGTATTCATCTTCAAATCTATGTTTATAAACAATACAAATAGAATGAATGACCTAAACCATTTGTTGAGTCACTAAACTCATGACTCTCATTCGGATATTTGAAGCTAGAATCTGGCGAAGATTTAATTTTTGTTTTATTGGCAGTGAATCTGCTCTGGGGCACAACCGATCTCTATAAATGAGGTATCAGACTATTAAATCGATCGAAAGAAAAACTTAACACTTTAACCTGAATGCTTGTAACCGTTGTTGACGAAACATTATTTTCTTATTAAATGCGAAAATCTATTCTCTTCATGGGTAGGATATGTTTTTGTTTTTTCTAAACCGTAGATACTATTTTTTCTTCATTCGAATGAAAAATATTGTTAAATGGTGTTATTCAATATTACACACAATATGTTATTTCTGCTCTTCGTTTCGTCACTTTTTTTATTTATTTATTTTTTAGCAAATGAGGTATGAATCTTTATATATTTATTAAATTAGCAGATTTAATTCTCAACAATGAAATAAAATATTTTAAATTGAATAACAATCAACATTCCAGAATTAAACACTTAAGGCATTACAAATAAGATTTATTTGTGACTTAAACCGCACTTAAACTTTATGTATTTTTTATTGCATATAAATCTCAATATGATGGCATTATCCTTGATGCGGATAGGAGAGCTGGGTTGCGGCAAGAACTGCCCCAGTGAACCAGCAGCTATGGAAACACTTCTCTAAATGGACATTTGATGCGAAAGGTTCCCTCCAGCCGGATTCCTGCACAGCTTGGGCAATAAGTTCCCCTTGGGCTACTCAACAGAAGATGAGTGTTTAGTCTTTCTTAGTGCCTTGAAAAAAAAAAAAAAAAGAATCATTTTATATATTAAAAAGAAAATTCATAGTCCCAGAAATGTTATATGTAAACCCTGTAATTATGTGTACGAAAAATTACATTATACAAAATAAATTCCATAAAATAAAATATTTCCAAGTTCCAATATTTCCAGTTGCCTAATAGGCATCTAATTCTATAATTAGATTCTAATTCTATTCTAATTCATAATAATTCTATTGAAATTTCATTTCTTGGCTTTTTTGAAACTTAGGATTTTAATAATTGTTTTGTCATTTTCCATCTTTTTAATGCTTTTGCGACACCTGTTATTTTCATCTGATCGTATACTGTAATTTTTCTTCAAATATATATATTTATTTTTGCATCAGTGATTCCTTACACTTCATAGTGATTTAATTGGACACGACGAGTTTACAAAACGTTCTCCGTTTGGTTAATTGATCGGGAATGAACAATGAGTAAATGAGTTTGGTGTTGGGGTCAAATTGAGCCATTATTAAGCTAGGGGTAAAATTTGGCGATTGGGTTTGGATTGTGACGTTGACGTGATTTTTGTTTCTCAGTTCTGATTTATTCTGGGATTGGAAAATGCATTTAATTGTATCAAACATCAGGTTGTTTATTTACCTTTAAACTTTTATCAATTTTTACTGTAAAATACTACTTATGATTCTGAATTCTATCTTGAAGAAAATGTTATTATAGTTTGAGCGCGAAAAACATTTTGAATCTTGTTTATTTCCTAGCAATAATTATCAAAATTTTAGTAGAAAATACGTGACTTATTTATTTGGGGATGAGTTGAGGAGTTGAATTAATCCGGCCTGCTTGCCCTATCCCCTTGGGACGGTTTGGTCGGACTTATGATTTACGCTAAAATGGAAACTCGGGCTGCAAACTGCCCTTTCAACTTTGCCAATCTGGTTAAACCTATTTCTAGGGAGGTGATGCCCTTGATGCTTCGCGTACGTGCCAGATTAAGCTGCCCTTTGAAAGAAGCGATTTACCTTCGAAGTAGATATTGTGCTATTTCATAAAAAACATTTTCCTGTCGTCGTTTCTCAATTTATCTAAAACATGCTTATTCCGTATGAACTTATTAGTTTAAATTAATTTTAATTATGTTTTGATTCGATATTAATTAATTAAAGTATTTGAAAAATGTGAGAAAGTATAAAAGGGGCCACTAACGATCATTCCACTCCTATCGCACCATGCCATTCCTATCGCTCCGTGCCACTCCTATCGCTCCACGCCAAATAGAACAAAGAACCACCGTGGTGCGAAATCCTTTTTTACTCAATTTGAAATAATCCTCAACTGCAGATTCGATTGTATAAAATCTTTTATAAAGTATTGAAATGAATAACTTACATTTGTTTTTCTTAATTAATTTTTTATAGATTTTAAATTTTTTGAAACATTTTTGATCAGAGGATGAAACTTTTAGGGTTAAAAGTTTTTCGGAATAAACGTTCTATTTTGTTATAAAGTTCTAGGTTAATGGTAAAAGTTTAACTTTTATTTATTTAGGTTCTTAAAAAATGTTACGTTAAATGAGATATAAGCAGTAATTGGGCTAAGAGTTATACTGGATTCTAATCTGTCGTTTGTTTGAATAGTTCAGAATAAAAGTGATTTTCTGACTCGAATTTCTGACTAGGTAAAATCAAAAGAAGTTTTAAATAAAAATTTTCGTTAGACCTTTACTTGAAAAGTTGCTAGGGAAAAATTTCAAGTCACGAAATAACAGAAAAACAAATTGAAAATAAGATTAAAAAGACTCTAATCATAACGGAACTGATTGAAAAATTAAAGTTAAAATTTCATTTCAAACCCTGTTTTTAATGGATTAATATTTTCCAATATGTTTAAAATATTCACTATTATATACAATTTAGGGATGGGAGGAGGAAATAAATTACTATTGTTGTTTTTTTATACATGTAGTGTGAATGCTATCCTACCTCACTATAACTAATGTCTAAGTGAGGATTGTTGTAACACTCAATAAATAAAAATATTGTTTTCTTGCTAATGCAGAAGCTCTATTTACACTCTCATTAAATTCTCAAGAATTTTATTAATCTATGCAATGAAATATTTCTAGACTATAAATATTCTAAAATATATTATTACCATATTTTTCATTTTATTGGAAAAAGTGTAAAAAAAATCATCGATTAGGTATTATGGCTCTGTTAATATAATATATAGAGATAATAAAACATAACATGAGTGGATAATTTTCAAAATAACCTGTTGAAATAAACTATGGAGTGATGGAGTGAGGCCCTTGAAATCTTCACTCCAAGCATTCCAGTAGCTCCACTTCATCGTTATAATTTTTACACTCATTCGCGCGTATAAATGGTAGTTTTCAAAACTATTTCAAACCTTGAAATACAAAAATTCCAGGCATTAAAATGAAAAATTAGAAAAAGTACAAGAAGGATAGGATTCACATTATTACTATCATAAATAATATGAATAATTCTTGAGTAAAAAATAATTATTAATATCTTAAAGTTTATTTGACTTTCTGTATCTTCTTGGAGCGAATTGAATTTTTGTTTTTCTGGAAAAAGCTATTAAGTGACCACAAAATTTGGAAAATGTATTAGCTAGTTCATTGGAGGAATTGGAATAGTTGGAATCGATTAGTTAACTATTTAAAATCTACTTTCTTAGGCGTAGACGATGTAATTAATTAATTCCATTGATGCATCTAAAACGGTCGATTTCTTAGGTTATTAATTAATTTTCTCCTAGCTAATTTATTCACAAATATTAGTACTAGTAGGTACATTGTAAACTGCCATGTTTCTTTTTCCTCAATGGTTATTTTAGGAGGATAAATTTCATTCTTTCTCATCCCCCGTGGATCCATCACTTCTAATATAGAAATCTGGGTAAATGATAGAGATTATTATCACTTTATATGATGAATATTCGCATTATTTTTAACTTTTTATTTTATAAATCTTTTGTAAATAAAAGGTGTATTTGTGCATTTATGTTTATTAGAATACATCCCAGATCATGGGTAAAAAGTAATTAAACCTTTGTAATAATTTATTGTGGTCATTTTTGCTGAAAACACAATTCCGTATAGGATGCAGGATATCAAATCAAATAATTTGTTCTCACAAATTATTTCGTAATAAACCTTAACTTAATTATTGTGGACTTAAATTTTAAAAACAGAACTTATCTTAGTTGTTCGAAATTCCTAACTAAATCCTTTTAACAATGAACCCTACTTTCATTTGGAGTATATTTTGTCTAGTTCACTGTTTGAAGCATATGTTTGTTAATCGCTTAAATTAAATACTTTCAATGAATAAATTAAATACTTTAATGATCGCTTTCTATTCACCGAAAGTGACACTTAAAAAACACAAAACAAATTTCATATTTTTCTGCGGAATATCGGACCGCTGTTTTTATAAACATTTTTGTAGTTCTTGAGACCTACTATCATCATTTTAATTATTTCTCTCTACTTATGGAACTCCCTGCATACGTGTATTTATATATATATATATATATATATATATATATATATATATACACGTGTGTGTGTTTTAATTTAGTTGAATAGGTGTTGACTCATTGATGGATTAAAAGTTATCTTATCAGCTAACAGTCGACGCCTCACCGCTAGCAAGGTGTTGATACGGCGAAGCTATCAGTTTATTTTTATCAGCCCGTGCGTTTTAGTTGACTTTTCTGTTTTTAGTTTTGTTTTTTTCGTTTAGTTTTTTAATATTTTCTATTCTATTAATATTAGGGAAGGAATAAATGTATGTCTCAGCTTATATACAGTATCAACTTCATTTTGCAAAGAATGATTGTGAGGATAAAAATGAACAAAATCGTTCTACACCATAGTATTTACAAGGATTTCGCTTGAAGTTTAGCTGTCACAGCGAAGTAGAAGAATTAAAGGTAAAAGTTATAATACAATAACAAAATTAATATAATAAATAATTAATATTAATTACGACCATCGATATTGTCAGAATCTATATTATTTCATAAAATAAAATAATAATACTTCAATATAAAGTTAAGCTTATTCATTTTCTCATTTTAGATTGAATTAAAATGTCTTATTTTCCTGATTTGTCAATAGTTCTCAATTAGTAATTTTTAAAAAGTTCATTTTATTGCATTATTTTTGGATTACACATTCCGTATCTTCAAGCAAAAATCATTGCTTGATTGGAAGTAAATACATATATCACTAATTAAAAAAAAAATTCACCCAAGTATTAATGAACCTTTTTATTATAAAATAGCTATTATTTTTAATGTGCTTTTGCAATCAACGTAGCGGTAGTTCGTAAAGGCTATTGCGTACTATATTAATTCGAAAGCTGAATAGTATTTAAGAGGAAGAGATATGGAAATCAGTTTGGACAAAACAATAAAAATAAAAAAATAAAAAAAAATAAAAATAAAAAATAAAAAAAAGTGATGATAGGATCGGTGGCGTAGTCCTCTCACCCGCAATTCCAACTCGCCTGCTTCAAGTACAGTTTCCATTTTGCAATTCGCACACACTTGAAGCTTTCTACCAACTCTTTGCTTTGTTTAAAAAAAGTTGTTGCTTTGTTTAAAAAAAGTATTTTATTTAATGTCAGAAGTATGGTGAAATAGTTGAAGCAACTGGCTGATATTTCAATTATCAACAGAAAAGTATAACACAGCTTCCTTCCAATTTCGACTTACTTTTGTAAACGGAGGGCATAGGGATCGAGGTGCAAAAGACAGATTCAATCCTGAAGAACGAATAATTCAGAAAAAATCAGGTTAAAACCCGCGGAAACCGATTAAGGTAGAAATTTACGTAAGGCTCTAAATTTGTGAAGTGGTATATTCAATGGTAACGAGATAGGTTTGTTTACGGTAACCGCGTTCGACTGCTGAGTGGAAGGAAGAAAACCGAGGATCAGGCAGCGGGAAAGGAAGAA